AATACATCACAGCTGAGCTGTCATGCTTACGTTAAAGCATGCAACCCCCAAAAGAAGTTCACTATGGACGTAATACTTTGATGCTGTTAGAATCCAATTCTGGTTTAATCTAGCTTTCTTCCTGAGACGGTATTATTTTTACCTCTAATCACCACACTATATCAATCCCTCACTACTTCTGCTGTGGTTTTGTGTAGCACGATAGAAAACCACAAATGGATTCAGACAGTCAGTTTGTCACTTACACCAACACTGTAAGACTGTGGAAGAGACCAGAAACATCTGAGCGAGAGCACAGCAGATTGCGCTTTATCGTTCCAGAACACTCGGTACCTTTTAAAAAAAATTGACACAGTGTTTCTACTTTCTACAGATAAAAAGACGAGAGGGTGAGGCTTTGCTCTGGCTTAAATATACAATTGGGTGTTGTTGAATTTAATGGAAACTGGTAGGAGTAAAGTTGTCTTTCCTGAGCATGTCTTCATTTGAAACATTTCCAGCAACCTTATGAGACACTTAACATAATGTTACCATAGTCACGCAGCCTATTTGCAATTCTATTGTGTCTAATGTGCTGAAATGCTTTTAAAAACCAGACACAACTGTGTACAACAGTAGCACTTACAAAAAACAGACATTTTGATTATTTATTTGTTTTTGTTTTTTTTAATTGGGTATATAAAATAAAAAAAAATACTGGTAAAAAATGTTAATGTTGAGAAATTAGCTATTTTAAAATATATTTAAACAGTTATTTTGAATTGTAACAATTTCACAATATTATTATTTTACTGTATTTTTGATAAAATAAATTATCAGCTTTAGTAAACATAAGATATTTCTTTCAAAAACATTACAAAAATATATCTAACTAACCCCATACGTATATAAAGAATGTCATTTATTTGTATATCCATGGATGGAAAAATATGCCATATGAATTCGTAACAATCCAGAGAGAGAAGAACCAAATCACATTTTTGGGGTGAGCAAAATGTTTGAGCAGGAATAATTATCATCTACAGTTTTTCCTCTCTCTTCAGTTAGAAATTTGTGCATGTTCCATTCACAAATTATTTTGGCAAAGCATCTGGTGTCATATTAGCTGTACTCGATATAGAAATAATTAATTCCACATTCCTAACTTGTTAACAAAATGTGTAGGTGGCTGGAATGTGTGAGGGCTTGTACGGAGTCATTATCCCAAGGACAACATCTCCCTGTCACATCATTTTGAAATAAACTCGATCACCAATTAGATGTGCATTCCAGATGCTTTGCAGGAAGTTAATCATCAGATGTTTACAAGGCTGATTCTGAAGCATATTTGTCTGGTAAATGAATCTTTCCATCTACAATTCAAAACCTCTCCAAGTCCGACTCTGTGAATACAGACAAGCAGGAGATATGAAAATAATTCGGAACCAAAACAAATGGTGTCATCGAATTAAAAACAATATTACAGGAATGCTGAAGTAATGATTTCTCTCAGGGGTTATATTCCATCCTTTTAAGACAGGGCATGTAAAGTTGTTGGCTAGTTTAGAACAGGGATGTGGCTGCTATCACTCAAGACAACTCCCGCCCCTTCCCACCCCCTGTAAAGTATATAAAGCACTCAGGTTTTTCTGTGAAACTCAGACCATTAGCAGTGTCACAGCTGAATACTCATCCCTAGCCAACCAAGATCTGGATGCTACTTGGAAATACACAATAATACGGAATTCTACAGACCGACTGAAATTATCAGGTATGTTTTCTTGGTTTGCTAACTCTGACTTGTGGATTTTTGGCTTTGGTGACCTCAAAGGTCAAAAAATTGACTTTATGACAAGTCATTATCATTGCACCAAAGGTGCACTTGACACCACAGGCAAGCATAAGACTTACTACTGGGAAATGACATGGTTGAGCAAAACTTAACCTCTGTGTAACTTTGAAAATAAATGAATGACTAGCATGGAGTCAACCAGGAACAGGAAGATCACATCATTTGGACATTTGTTCAGAACTCATGAGGTGTGAGAAGAGAAAACGAGCATGCTTTTTATATGACTAATTACATTTCTGCATGTTCTTCCACAGGTTCCATTCAAAATGAACTCAGTGCTTCAGAAGGCTTTCCTGTGGTGTGTGCTGACAGCACTTCTGCCGAGCATCACGAGTGCAAAACCTCTGAATACGGATGGTTTGAGAAGGTACGCTCATGACTAAACCACTGGTCTCATTCAAAGCTCACTGATTTTGAATCAAACCTAATGGCTTTCTCTTGTCATCGGCTAGGCTCAGTGTTTGGCTTCAGGGTAGGGTGAGGAGAGATGTCCACAGCTTGTCTGAGAGGAGTGAGAGCTACTCAGCAGCTTTGCTGACTCAGAGGAGCAGCGATCCTGAGTCATTTGTACCTCAGCACAGGTATGTCACATTCTTTCACTGAATAGAAACATATGAAGAAGGCCAAGCTGACTAATCATTATCACCAAAACATTCCAGTTTATTTATCATTTCACAAACATTTTGGGAATGTTACTTTTGAATGTTCTCTGAATAGTAACATTTAAAATGTAAGACCAATGTCCGACTAAAAAGTTTTAGAAATAACGTTCCATGAATAATGTGAAACATTAAAACATGTTGAGCACATTATTAAAGACCAGATAACATTATTGGAATGTTTTGTTCGTAACTTTGAGAGAATCTTTCCGGGACATTCTGAGAACGTTCCCTGTTAGCTGGGTACTAACTGCTTTCTGTTTCTCTCCAGGAGTGTGAGGGTAAAGCGTACAGAACCAGCCAACTCAGTCAAAAGAGTGGAAAGAGCGGGCTGTGTTCTGTCCACCTGCTCGGTGCACGAACTAGCCCACCTGCTGAATATGATCAACACAAAGATGAACAACGCCCCTGCTGAAAAGATCAGCTCAAAGGGCTATGGACGGAGGCGGAGACGTTAGTTCCATCAAACCTCCCTGCGCTAACCTTCCACGAAAGCCGTCTAAAGCTGGCATGGGTTCAATCTCTCCATTAAAGAACAACCCGGGAACACCTCTGCGGTTTGTCCTGAGCCTGTGGTTTCTATTGGCTCGGTTTACTGAGATACTTCTGATACACCCTTTGCTTAAAGTTAGTGTACTCTCTTCAGGCACAAAGGAGCAACTGGAGCATCCTTCTCTCCATCCTCTGCCTGATGGGTTGGACTGAGAAGGATTCAGGTCACTTAAAGTGGTTGTGGAAAATAGGAGTGCCATCAGTTGGGGGGAAAAAAAATCACAAACATTTTATTTGTCAATACGACAGGAAATAGTTGGTCAATGCTCTGTGCATGTGTTTAGCATTCTTGTCATTCTAATGGAGCTTTGGGACTTGACTCTCTGTCTCTTCTGCAGCACTGATGCGCCCTCTGCTGGAGGAATGAAGGAACAGCCTAGAACTCTGCCAGCCCAAACTTACATTGAAGAGGACGGAGAGAGAATAGCAAGAAGAGGGAAAAGGAACCAACTTTTATGACTTAAAGCTATTTACCTTGGAGGACCAATGATGAAGAACGGAGAGAAAGAGAACTCTTTATGGAAGAAATCATTTTTGTTGTCCTCAACATACTTGAAGACTGATTTATATATACTATGGGAGCCGTGCAATATTTCACTTTAATATTGTTATAGTCTGTTATTAATGTGTACAAAGATATTATATTATATTATGAAAATACTGTATCTTAAAAGTTAATATTTATATCTACATACTGTACATGTATTCTTAAGAAACTATTGTATACAGAAAAAGGGCATCTATGGTTTATTTTGAAATAAGATGTTTATCCTTTAAGTTCATATCGCTATATGAGAATCATTTTTTCCACATGAATCATTCAATAATGTGACACATGTTAATTAATGACCTATTAAACTCCAGCAAGAGCGAGGAAGGAAAAATTGCCTGTGTTATTTTCATTATTTCCATGGCAGCTTTCGGTTCTTTACCTTGAAAAAAATCATAATAATAAAATTTGAAGTGGTCCGAATGAATATAACAACTTGTGTGTTGATTCCATCTAGCCTGATAGTGATAAAATGAAATTATTTTTTTGTATGTATTTAATTTCTTTAAACAATAAAAACAAATCCGTTTAATTTAATGGTCTGTGGGAAAAATAAGAACTTCAAGAGCTACATTACAAATCCAGCAGAGGGCGCGCTTTCCCCTTCAATTATTATACACGCTAAACGCAACATATTAATCGTAATTTTAGCAATAGCAAAAGGAGAAGTATCAAAATGAAGAACACTGATAAAATAAAAAGTAATATAAAGATTAGGTAATTTAACTGTCATTTAACCTACAGATAAAAAGGCAGTCTTGCGAAACATCGTTCATGTGATGAGTTGCGAGAAAAGGGAAACAGGCACTTCCACATTTTTTTGTAATTAAAAGAAAAGCTACATTTAAAAGAATTGTACTTCTCAAAATTATGCTTAAAATAAAGTACACTCACAATGAGATGAACTGGTCTCGAGATGCGTTATGTAGAAGTTCATGTTATTTGACACAGCGACTAAAAACGCGGTGCTCATCTACGAGCAAGACGCTGGAAACGCAGCTGGACGCAGAGTCTGTGGCGTCTGTGTACCGTATTTTTATATGGATAAAAATGTGTTAAAAGCGACACAAATAAGTTATGCCTGAAATATAGCATCAGTTCTAGCCAGTTCTCTGCTCAGATGAATAGAATGGCATGTGTATGTGTACACAGTGAGTGAGTAACATAACCAAAATATGACTTTTGTGCGCTCACAAATATACGGTAGGTTTAGGCTATATAACAACAGAACGTCCAAAGTCTCCTTAAACACCCTGAGAAGATATGCAAAACACAATAAAAGTTTCAGAGAAATTAAATACCCAGAAAACCCACCACAAGATCCAAGCCTCATAAAAACAAAGTTTCCACCACAAGCACTGAAAGGGTTAAGCGCGGTGACATTTTTCACTATGCAGATGTTGCTTGTAAGAGCCTTGAGTCATATCTTCACACCCAGTGAGTGTTGCATTACAGAGCACAGCAGAGTGTCTCAGGGGACAGTCACACACAGAGAGAGAGACAGCAAGACTGCAGGGAGAAAAAAAACAGAGGTCTGCATCCGTAAGGTGAGCTGGTTAATATCTCTTTAAAACAATGTTTACTAACCCCTTGGCTCTTTGGTTACCTCAGTAGAAGTGCTGTAACCTGTGGCCTCTTTTCTAGCATATCCTGCAGGTCTGAACCTGCTGTGGGCTCATGCCTCATTCCACACTACTACTTTTCTTGAGTCTTAATCCATGTACATACTTTTACTCTGTCTCTATCTTACACTGTTTACATATCTCCCTTTGTAAAATGGATTAACCTTTACAACTGATGGATTAAAGATGGTACAGTTTTATCAGGGGTGGTGGCATGTTTTGAATGTTCAGGCATGTCCTTATTCAGAACTGCAGAACTGTGTTCTTATAGATAAGGTAAGATGACAACTAACAACATACTAGCATTTAATCGGAGCTGTTTTACACCAGTAAAATGCTGTAAAAGAAGTGCTCAGGATATTCAGTAAACACACTAGGAAATAGCAATTTCCTTATGTGTTTTGCTTTTGTATCTGACGTTATAGTAATAGTGTCTGCCAGATTGTTAGTACTTACAAATTTCCTTTTCCTGTTTTTGAATACCACAAGATTGGCAGTTAGCTGTCATCAACTGACTGAGAGGTAAACAGCCCATGTTAATGTGGTATTCTTATAAAATAACAACACATACATTCATCGTGGTGCTTTTACTGTGGAATGTTTCAGGAATATTCCTGCAATGCATTTTAAGAACATGAGGACTTTGCCTCTGTCTCTCAGGTGGAAGTTTCATAGATCGTGTTGCATCTACTACACTGTGCAAAATGAGCAGAAAAGGAACTCCTCTATCCAAGCAACAATCAACACCCATCTTAGGGACGGGTAAGTTTGGCATAGTATATGTTAATATTGTATCTGAACGCTACATGTTACCTTAAAAATGTGTCACTTTTGTCTTTGTAAAAGGCCAGTGTGCAGGTCCACTGGAACAAACTCCTAAAAAGGTGGCCTGCAGACGTATTGTCTGGTGTTGTCACTCAAAGTAGGTTAAAAGCATAGCATGACAAGGTGTCCGTAACATTATTTGCAAGCATGTCATAAAGTGCTCTATCAAAAGAGAAAGCGCTGCGCGTTTCTATACATAACCTACTTGCAATGAAGCACTTTCCTTTTTGCACTTTGCACTTTGAATGACTTGTGCAAGCCAATGACTTTGCAAAAATATTTGTTTTAATTTAAAGCGATTTAACAGTTTAATTACACTAATGATATGCATACAATTTGACTATGTTAATTATTTGCTGTTTAATATAGCGTTATGAGAATGATTTCACTGTAATTTAATGGTTTGCACCCTTTGATTACATGAAATTACAGTTAATTTTAATCAAATTCTGCAAAACAAGAAGAATACTGCGAATGTATGGCACTAAGTGGGCTGGACTTGTATGTTGAAATGAAAGTAAGCCTCTTCCGTCTTTGAGATGGTGAAGAAAGTGAGTTAATCCTTCAGACAAAGAGAAATGTGAGGTAAGGGGAGGGGGCATAGGCTCAGTAGGATGGGCAGGTATGGAGCTAGTGCTGCGCTGCAGGGCGGAGTTCAGCTTCTCCCAATTGTTTCCCTACAAATGAGGAAAGATCGGAGGAGAAACGGTGTTAATAGTTGCAAATAAAAAGAGCTATTCTGTCTGACACCCTCTATACTCTCTCCGAGACAACTCTGTGGTAGGTAGCCTGACCTTCTCAAAGCGCAGGTAAATAAATGCTCACACTAGAGTTTCTCTGAATTGGTGTGTTTTGAGAATGTTTTGCTCATTTACTTTAAGCCTTGTGTTCTTCCATGCTCATTTCAAGGTCTAGCAAAACAAGGTGAGTGTAACTTCAGTCACGGTGCTGTATGAATACTGATTATGACGTTACGGGATGCTGTTTGGAACAGAGTATTCCTCTGGGCCGTGTGCGTGTCAGCTTGTGCTTTCCAGAAGCTTGCTAATAATACTGCACTTACAGTATACTGGTGGTGTATGAGTTGTGTTGACTTAAAAAGGAGCAACCTGTGATTCTGGTTACCTGTGCAGGGTAGGGCATAGTTGACGTGGGCTGGTTTAAAATCAGATGGGCTGTCATACATGACAAGTTGCTAAGGTTGAGCTTGGAATGTAAACATGGCTTAGTGCCATGCAGTGTATATTGCATGTTAAGCCATAGCATATGCAGCCTTCCTTTAAAGGGTGAGTAATGTTTCCGGAACATGAGTGAGCCAGGGACAAGACAATGTTATTCCCTTATAAAAACATAGAGGCTGGGAAATTACCCTGACAGCTCGCAAGCTCCAGAACCTGCCAGCATTTAGAAGGGTCTCAGGTTCAGCTCGCAGCTTGTTGTGACGTCCAGCCAAGCTCTCTGCTGACATAATGCTGTTAGTCGCTTTAAATAGGGGGAAGCGGGATACTCAAGACTGGAAAACACGGAAGACCTAGAAGTGAAGACCACAGTTAGAAAGCAGCAGGAAAACAGAGAGTCCAAACACAGAGATTCAGTAAAACCATGGCAAAAATAGGTGCTGAAGGTAAGAGAAAGTGTATATTGCAGCATTTGGTACAAAAGGGTTGCTCAAGCAGAATAATAGGGGTCAGGAACATTCAAAAGATTGGACATTGGAAGGGTCAGACGGAAGTAAGGGATAAACTGTGGCAAGCTTTTCTTCAATAGAAAGGTGACGTGTTGGTTGCACATGTTAAACAATAGCTCAACAATAGCACAATTCTTCTGACAGAATGGGTATTTTCAATGGGCTAAAGATGGGTTGAAATAAATAATGAGTGATTGTCGAAAGAATTGTTTACTATGATATATATTTTTAATTTTAATATATTATTTAATATTAATATTTTAATATATATAATTTTATTTATGCAGGGGTTAAAGCAAGGGGTGGGATTTTGCTCATTTTATATAAAAATACCATATTTTTATACAAATACATGGTATAAAAAAATATAGGAAATAATAAATTTTCAATGACAAAATATTTGTCTTTTAATTACGAAAAGTAAAACAATGCAGTTGTATTTTGAAATATTTTAACTAATCTAGGGCTGTAACTAATGATTATTTTGGTAATCAAGTAATCTACGGATTATTTTGACAATTGAGTAATTGGATATTTTTTAGTAACACAAATAGACCTAAGTGAAAACCAGGCTTTAGTATGACCATTTAGTCTATATATAAACTAACGATGAGGCAATAATAATTGGCTCAAATAAAATATCAAAACCAAGTAATTACATGGTTTTATTGAACAACACTGATAAAATACACAATGTAATATGCCTATACATAATATGAACATAACCTTAACTTAAGTACATTATGTATTATAACCATAGACTGTATAAAAACATGGACGTAGTGTCCATGACGTCACCCGTC